TTTTTTTTTTATTTTTTTTTTTTTTTTTTTTTTTTTTTTTTTTTTTTTTTTTTTTTTTTTTTTTTTTTTTTTTTTTTAGAATTAGTACATCCAACACGAATTCAAAGTGAGACAGATAGATGGAAAAGGATTCGGTGCGAAGAAGGATCACAAGGTAATTTTTTAAAAAACCTTTATCAAAAAACTTATTAAATCTATTAAATAATTCATCATTTAACGAATCGAATTTCTCACAAATTTTATATAAAATTCATAAATAATTAAACAATAGATTTAGATAAAATATGTGAACAAGTATTCCTTGATAATAGCAAGGAAGCCACATCAGCCATTATTGAAACAATGTTAGAATTAAAATGTTGTGCAAGATGTATATTAAGATATTTAAATGTATTAGATTATGATTTTTATTTTGCATCTGAAGAGGTAAATTCAATTAAATCAATTTTATTATTTTTAATAATGATATTAAAAGTTTAATTAATTAATTAATTAATTAATTCTTAATTTCATTTTTTAATTTATTTTTTAATTAATAAATATTTTATAGACATTATTTAATTTTATTAATAGAATTCAAAAAGAAACAATAAAATCAATTAATACAAGGATTATTAAATCTACAGAACAATCTGAACAATCTTTAATATTTTCAGATACAACATCCAATAATAATAATAAACCTATATGTGTTACTTGTTTGGATCTTCTTTATCAAGTAGATACATATGAATGTATTTGGCCAATATATCAAAGTATTTTAGCACATAATTTTGATGTTAAAGATTTTAATTTATCAGTTTCCTTACCATCAGGAATTTTTGTAAATAATCATTCAATGTTGGTTTGGATTAGAAAAACTTTTAAGGATTTAAAAATTGAAGAAGGAACATTAAAAAATCTAATAGATTTAATAGATTTAAAAGAAGTTTTTAAATATTTATTGGGAAAATCTATAGAAAAGAAAACAGGAATGAAATATATCAATCATAGTGAATTTAATATATCTATAGAATTTAGTCATTTTGATACACAACAAAATCATATGCTTTTGACAAGAATTCCATCAGCAAATTTTGAATTAAAAAAAACTAAAGTAAAGGTAATAAAATGATTGATATTTGATATATATATATATATATATATTTATATTTAATAGATTTTAATATTTATTTTTAATATATTTTGATCTTTTTCAGGGAAAATCCGTTTGGGTAGGAGATTCACGATCAAATATTATTAATGCTTTGTCAAAGGTATCAGATGATGATTTTTTAAGGTAATTTCATAATAATTTCATTATTATTATTATTATTATTATTCTTTTTTTTTTTTAAAAAAAAAAAAAATTAAAAATTTAATAAATTTATTTTAAAATTACTTTTAAATTTGTTTATAGAATATGCAATTATTGTCCACCACCTGTTATTAGAGAAAGATGGGAAATTAAACCTCCAATATTAGAGCATGAAGCAGTTTACGTTGGAGGTATATATATATATAAATATATTTGAATATGTGAAACCTTGTTTGATTTTATTAATTTATATAATAAATTAATATTTAATATATTTTAATTTATTTAATTTATTTAATTTTTATTTTTTTTTTTTGATATTTCTAATTATTTATATAGGTCGATATAATAAATTATCAAGAAATATTAGTCAAACTCCTTGGATAATTAATGGTAATAAATTAGCTCCAACATCAGTTTCTGAATGTATTGGAGAGATATTAAGAGAGAAATTTATGTGTGATGGTAAATAAATTTTATATTTATTAATTATAATTAATCTTTGGATTTTAGATTATTATTATTAAAATGAGAAAATAATTTTCTTTATAGATTATATTTTTGTTCCAGCAGGTAGAGAAGATGTTAATGTACGTATGTTAGGTACGGGAAGACCATTTTTTATTGAAATAATTAATCCAAGAAAGCCATATATATTCCAAGAAATTTTAAATGATGCACGAGAAGAAATTAATAAAAGATATAAAGATTTAGTTCGATGTGAAAGGTTGAAAATGATTGATGAGTATGTTATAATTAATATATCTTAATATTCTGTTTAATATTACATTTAATATATTATATTTAATATCATATTCATTATTATTAGAAAGGATTTATCGATAATTAAAGAAGGAGAAGAAAATAAAACCAAAACATATAGTGCATTAGTTTGGATTTCTAAAAAAGTCACACCTGAAATAATTGAAAAAATTAATAAACATAAAGACGGATTTATTCTCGAGCAACAAACTCCAATTCGTGTACTACAAAGGTAATTTCTACATCAATATATAATTTTATGTGAAATAAAAATGATTTTAAATCTAAATATATCTAAATATATTAAAATATATATTTATGCTTTTAATTTAGACGTTCTTCAATGATAAGACTTAAAAAAATTCATTCTATTTTTGCTGAAGAAATGAAAGAAAATGATCAAATTATAATTTTAAAATTAAAAACTGAAGCTGGAACATATATTAAAGAATTTATTCATGGTGATTTAGGTAGAACTAAACCAAGTTTAAATGATATGATCAATTGTACCTCTGATATACTTGCTTTAGATGTATTAGAAGTGGATTTAGAATGGCCTATCGAATAATTATTATTTCTTTTATTTTTTTTTATCCCTTTTATTTTTCCTGTAATGAAATAATTGAAATAATTAAAAATAATAAATAACAAATATTTTAAACATTTATTTGTTTTCAAAAAAAAAAAAATACAATCTTAAAATACAATTTTAAAATACAACTTTGAAATCCAATTTTGAATACAATTTTGAATATAGTTAATTTAAATAATTGTTAATTATTATTTAAATTTTTTAGTTGATTTCTTGACATTTCTTGTTATCACAAATTTAGTTCCTCTCTGACCCTTTTTCTTATACACTGATGTAAGTGGAATATATTCATACGGATCAGGTTTTCCTTTCTTTTTGATATCTCCTCCTGCTTTCTTGGCTTTGTATTCCTTTCCAATAATCACTACATCATTTTTTCTTTTTGGTTTATTTTTCTTCCTTCGGGATGTTATAGCATCAATAGATTCTATACCATCTAATTCCATAATATCATCATCATTATTATTATCATTTCCTTTGTTGAATTTGATTTTATTGTTTTGACCTCGAGTAAATCCATCACTAGAGCGTTGTGCTTCGAGATGATTATTTTCTGCTTCTTGCATAATTACATCTTCTGAATCATTGAAATCTTTTAATGATTCTTCATCTGATTCTTTAATCATCAAACGACCATCGCGTGATTCTTTAAATGATGATAAAATATCTCTTTTTGATTTATTCTTTGTAATAGGATTGGTACCAATGACTTTTGACATTATGCCCTTATCTAAGAAATCTATTGGGGTATCTTCATCTTCCTTTATCCAATTTTCGATTGTTAATTTCTTGTCGGAATTTTTATTTGAAGATTTTTTATCATTAAGATTTTCTTCTTCTCCTTCTCCTTCTTCATTTGATGAATTATCTTCTAGGTCACTATCAAATTCCATATTTAACTTGGTATTTTTCTTTCGTTTATTTCTCTCTTTCGTTTTACGAATATTTACTAAAAATTTTTTATCACTTTCGGAAACATGTTTTTCTATCATTTCGTATTCAAAACGTCTCAATAAACGTTCAAAAATATGTCGCACCTTACTTTTAAAATGATTCTTATGCTCATTAGACCAAATAAGAATGCCTGGAATGATTTGTGATAAATGTAAATTCAAAAAGTCTACATCTAATGAAACAACGATAACTTTAACAAATCCTAATACTGCTTTGACAATCTCTCTATTCTTGGAATTTACAAAATTATCCATTGTATCTATAAGTTCATGGAGATTTTGTTTATCAAGATCATCTTTGAATTCGAATATCAACCTTGATAATGATGCAATGGTGGCGCTAATCATGTGAGGTGTGCTTGCAGCTAATCCCGCAACTACCATACCGAATATAAATTCATTAATTGAAGCGATCATATTTGGTGATTCTGGATTCGCATCCGAAATTTTGTTCATATTAATATTTCCACCTTCTTTCATCTTATTACCCATAACAATAAGTAATTCGTATGCATTAATCCTAGCTTTCTCATTAACTTCTTTGGTACAAAGAATTACTTCGGAAAGTACTTCCGGGATCATATGAAGATCTGAATTCGGTAAAAGTTTTATCGTGTTACTAAGCATTAGTAATCTATCCTTTTTCGAAGCTGAATTTGATGCCATGATAGTATTCAATAATTGATCTTGCAAATCTTCTATATTTTGTAAAATGACAATTTTCCCATTTTCACATTCAACAATTTTATTTAACTCTTTATACGCTTTCTTTTGTAATGTGGAATTTTCACTACTTAATAATGTGATAATGACTTCATATAATTGTTTAATTGAATTCACATCAAGGTGAGGAGTCATAGCTATTAACAAATCTAACATTGTGTAAGACATGGGAGGTGGGGAATTTTGATTATTTGTATTTGTCTCAGTTGATTGTAGCTGATCTGATAAAGATTGTTTCAATAGATTCATAACTTTACCAAATGTTATCGAAATTTCTTTGGCCGGAGAAATATCCAAATAAACCTTAATAACATTTAATAAGTAAACTCTATGTGCCGGTAACGTTTGACTAAATATATTAAAGAAAACTGCTAAATAATTGGCAGAATATTTTTTCATATGATCAATATTGTGTTTAGCGATCATTTTATTAATATTATATTTCTTAAATAATTCTTCATCATCTTCTTCAGAGTTCAAAATTGTAATATTTTTTTCCACTAAATTTTTAAGTGCATGAACAATAATTGAACGAAATTCTGGTTTTTGATACATAACATTACTAAATAATTCAGCAGTAACTTTAGTAAATGTTTGTGATAAATCAATAGGAAGATTACAAAATCCCGGTAAAAGTGCCCAAACTTGATGCATTAATGTATCATAAACTTTTGCTCCAATCATCATATTTTGATCTTGATATTCTAAAGATTTTTTGCCAAGTCGATCAGCCAAAGGGATTAATTCCTGAAAGAAATATTCAAGTTTGGTATTTGAGATATGATCTTTAAGTAAAGGAAGAAGCCAAGCTCTTCCAGTATTATTATTATTATTATTATTATTATTATTATTATTATTTTCAGGGTTTTCTAAATTTAAAGGTAAAACATTAAGAAATGAATGAGGACCCATATTAGCAATTGCTATTCCCAATGTTTGATCAGCTTCTTCTTTTAATTTAAATGATGGATTCATTCGTATATCATCAACTATCTTAACTAAATTAATTAATAATGTTTCCGAGGATCGATGTAAACGTTGAAATAATGATTTTGAAATTTCTAAAACGTAAAACCAAGCAACTTGATATCGAAATTTGAAACCATCCTCAACAGTTTTAATAATTATATCTAAACATAATAATTCTTTATTAGATTCAGACATTTGTTCAAGTTTTTGTTGTATAATAGTATCAGAGATACCATTAATGATAAGTTCAGAAAGACAATTTGTACATGCAATAAGAATTTCCGAATTATCAACTTCCAAAATAGAAAATACAGTTTTGAATAATTCTGGAAGCATTTTTTCACATCCTACTGGATTAACCTTTGCATATATCGGAAATCCTTTACTTATAATCATGAGTTGTTGAGGTAATGATTGAACATCTTGCTTTATAAGTTCTGAAAGTTTCGATTTTTGATCCGATTTTGAACATTCTTTGAGTATTCTCAAACAAAATTCCGAGATCATTCCAATAGCTGGATGCTTGCTTACTAGTGGAGGTTGATTATTGGAAATTCTATGTACAGCATCTTGAGTTCTTTTCCTTGGTTTAGATCTTTGATCCATTGAAAGCGTCAACAATTATTTGATATTCGAAAATTTCTAGGGGATAAAAAAATTTTTGTGATAATCTAAGAAGGAAAAATTTGATCACGTGTAAATAAATTCAAAGTTGTACAATCTTGACAATCTTGAAGCCGCGAACCCTTCACGATTTACTTTTGAAATATCGTTTTTTTCTAGAATTATTTAATATTTATCAAAAGCAACCCAATTTTTTTTTTTATCTCTGACCAATTTTTAATTTATTTATAAATTAAAAACATGAATACAATGGTCTAAGTTATAGCTTTATGATTTTATTAATAATTTCTAGACTATCTAAAAATCTTTAATAAAATCTCTAATAAAACTAAACAAAGAGTTATGGGTGATAATATTTGATAATATTTAGTAAAGAATTTTTATTGAATTTTTACATGAATTTCTTATTGTTTTCAGTATGTTAAAAAAAAAAAAAAATTAAACAAAATAATTTTCTTTATTTTCTTTGAAGTTGTAACGTGATCTGCTCTGCATTATGTGTCTAAAAATGAATTGACATTGAAGTCTTTAGAAATTCTTAGTAGCACCAATTGTCACAAAATTATTTGGATCCAAACTATTAAAATGTTTTTTTTTTATCTAAAGTAAAATTATCAGAATTAGAAGTAAACATAACAAGTAACATAATGGGAAAACATTTAAGCAAAGATGAAAATTATTCTTTATTTGAGTTAATAACTTTTTATTATATCCATTCCAAAGTAAGTAAGTTTTAGAATAACTTTTATGAATAAAAAAATTAAGATCATTATTTATTAATTATTAATTTGATGTGTGTGATAAACAAATATTTAATATATTTATAAAGATTGTTTTTTAATTAATAATCATTGTTATTTAATTTAAAGATCATGTGTTTTCGTCGTTTTTCTTTTGTATTATATATTTCCTTTAAATCTTTGTGAATTATTAAATTCTGTGTCAAAGTATTATCATTAAGTCTTGAATTATATCATTTAGTAGTTGGAATATTTGATAAATGAGATAAAATTTTGATTGTTATCTAATAGTTATTTGATGATTATTATTTGTTATTGTTACCAAAAGTAAAAGAGATGAAAGCATTACGTACCTCCCGTTCAATCAAGTGTACCCCATCATTTTTCCATGATGTCACCTGCCTAATATGAACCCTGCTGCGACATATCTCGGATTTATTAACCAACTGTCAGTCTTTTTTCTGTCCTCAAGAGTTGGGAAACTAATTCTTCATTTCATAAAACCCAATTTTTGTTTTTTTTTTTTCTTTCCATTCCCAACAAAACACGCGTGCAAACAGTCTATTAACGATACTTTAAAGGCTTAATATTATCCACTTATATCGTTAGACTGTTTGATCCGCCAGCATAATGAAAATCAAGAAATCACCACCTAAGAAATTGGCCGTACAAGTATGTCTCTTTTGTTTGTCTCTTTTTTTTTTTATTTTAAATAATTTTTAGTTAGGTTACGGGTATTACGTTTAAACAAAAGATTACGTAATTTAATAAAGCAAAAAAAAAAACCACACTCTCTTTGAAAGTTAGCTGCGTCTATCAAAATTTATGATCTTGACAATATTTTTTATGAAAATTATTTATCAGAGATAATATTTATAGAATATAAAGGATCTTAACATAATTTATTCCAAATTACGATTAACTTCTAATTTTACTTTATTATCTTTATTATTTAACCATATGTTTAACAGACACCGCCACTCAAAAATCTTACACAAAGACTAAATGAATGTCATGAAGATGAAATACCTGATATAGTGGACTCTATTCAAGAATGGAGTTATCCACGAGGAGATTTATTTCATTGGATTGGAGTTTTAAATAGATTTGATACTATTCTCGAAAACATTTGTCAAAATTATAAACTTAAAAAATTACAACAAACTAATTTTTCAGAAGGAACGCGCAAAGTTCTTATAGCAATCTTAAAATTTTCGCGAACGTTATTAGAAAATTGTACGAATAGGAATTTATACAGCTCTTATGAGGTTTGTTGAAATTAAAATCCGTTATAAATTTAAATAATTTTTAGTCTTAATAATAATAATCTTACATTTATTTATTATTATTATTATTATTTTTTTTTTTTTTAAAAAAAAAAAATATTCGATGATCTTTATATGGTCATCGATTTTTAGCATCTCAATGACCTATTATATACAAGTGATCTAGGTGTATTGGAAGTGTTATTACGCTTAATTCTTCGACCTGCACAAAGACTTAGTAACCAACGAGCTATTCGACCAAATTTCACAATTTCACATGAACGTATTTTAGCTCTAGCTCACAGCTGGGGAACAAAAGAATTTGATATCGAAATGGTTCAACTTGCATCTGATGATTTGACAATTCCTGAAGAATTAAATGTATTGAACTTCCAATTTTATCGTCATCTAACTCCATTGGAAGCTGTTGAAACTACTGGAGAAAAGAAAAATGACACCATTCCGATCGCTTCTTCTTCTACTGCTACTACCACTACTACTACCACCACTACCACTACAACTACAACTACCAATACCAATACCACATTGTCACATAAAAATCAAAAAAAGGATCACACTACTACAAATTCTGGTGGAACAAAGTCTGGAGAGGGGTTTACCGTGATTTCTGTGAATAACATTAATCAATATGGAGAGACTGATATGGAAATTTTGAACAATATTGTCCAGGAAAATGAAATTCCGGAGGAGTTCCATTTTGCTCTTTTAAATAGAATTCGAATTGTAACCAATATCATATCAACAAAGTCTAGACAAAGACTTTTAATAATAAGAATTCTTGCAATTGCTATTATGGGTATATATATATATATTTTTAAAAAAAATTTTCTTTCTTAAAAAAAAAAAATTATTAAAATATTAATCCAATATATTTATTTTTTTGTAGCATATGTAATCCCAGAACACGTTGTTCAATCAAAATTATTTTTATATGAACCTGATATTGTCGCGAATCTTGCTGAATTAGTTCATCCCGATCGAAATGTTCCATTCGTACGTTTTCCTGAAATTTTTTTTTTTTCGATTTTAACTTGAACAATTAAACTTAGATATATTCTATTATTAGGAAATCCAAACCGTTGCATTTTATGCTTTGGATGGAATTAGCAGATATCGATCTAAGCTTGGTGAAGTACTAACAGCTATTAATGCCTCGGCTAATCATGGCATTCTTCTTTACGTACTGAGACGAGTTATTGCTGATTTAGACCGTGACCATCGTTAGTATTTTATTTAATAATATATTATTTTATTTTTTCTATTTCATGCTAACTTTTTGATTTGTTTTTCCTTTAGAAATGTATCTTCAAGAATATTATGACGCACTATTCGCCTTGATATCTTATATTATTACCACACAAACTGGTGGATCTATGGTGATATCGGCGGGAATAGTTCCAACGCTCTTACAATTGATAAACAACAAACGTTCGACACAATTAAAAGTATGATATTTTACAATATCTTATAAACATTAATTTGGTTATTTTAGTTCGTTTTACTCACAATTTATTGGTATATATTTATTAAGAATGTAACAAAAGCTGTCGGCCTCTTGGATAGTCTCGTTTACGGATTCAATACATCATTTGCCTCATTTTGCAATGCGAATGGTGTCCGCATATTAGTAGACAGAATTAAGGTTAATTATTCTATACCCATTTATTATCATTACTCGTTATGTTTACTTGTTATCTTCTTTACAATGATTTTTAACTATATTTAAAATTTTTAGGATGAAGTTGATAATGGAGTACAACTCACGAAATCTTCTCGCGGTGATCAAATGGAAGACGTCACAATTGCAAGTTCTTCTTCAAGTGCTGAACCATCATCCTTAAAGGGTATTTATTAAAATTATTCACATATAAAATATAAAAAGATCATTCATGACAAATGTTGATAATTTACTAAATTTTTGTATTGAAATTTATTAGTCGAGTCTGCTGCTTCTAACACCGAAGAAGAGTCACTTCCATACGAACGAACTTCTTTGTCAAAATCGATGTTTAAGTTCGTATTACACATGATGCAAGCCTCTGGTACAGCGGATGGTTTGCGTAATCTTATTGATACTACTTTGCCTGATTCTCTAAAAAAAGTTTTCGAATTACCAAATGTTTTCGGTGGCAGCATATTTGCTCTTGGTATATATTTAATTTTTTTTTTCCCCATTTCTTTTCTATTTCTTTACCATTTCATTCTTAGTTTCACTATAACAACCCTTTTATTTTTTAGCAAGTAATTTGTTTGCGACATTCATTCATAATGAGCCAACCTCGCTTCCGATTATGCAAGAAGCCCAACTTCCACAAACTTTCTTAAATTCCATCTGCAAAGAAATTCCGGCATCAGTAGATGTAAGCTCATTTTTTATTTAACTTTAATTTATTGGAATTATTTTTTACTCAAAAATAACATATATAATATCTCTCTTTCTCTTCTTAGGTCATTCAATCTATCCCAAATGCATTTGGAGCTATTTGTTTAAATTCACAAGGATTAGAAATTCTTAAAGAGAAGAATCCGATAGATAAATTTTTCACAATTTTTACATCAACTGAACATTTACGCGCACTTCAAGATGGAGATGTCGCATCTGTTTTAGGAACTAACATTGATGAATTGATGAGACATCATCCTCCTCTAAAACCAAGTATCATGAATGCAATAATGACAACTCTTCAGCATATTATTGAAGCTGGGTCATCTTATAAAGACGATGCTGGCAAGTTATATGTTGATGTAGACGATGATCAACCAATAAACATGGAAACGCTTGGAGAAGGATCAACCGACACAACTATGACTGATTCAGACGCTCCAAAATCTGAAGAGAAAAAGGAAAATACAGTAGTTGCGTTTATTGAAATTGCAGCAAGGGTATGCGAATCAAGGAATATTTGATTATTCAAATTTCATCTGATTTACTTAAGTTTTAAAATTTTAACTATAATTTTTCAAATTAGTTTTTGGAAGGTCTATTTCAGACTCAAAGTCACTGCAAAGAATTTCTCCGACAGGATAGTGGTTTACAAATGATCCTCAAATTCTATGCCTTACCCGCTGTTCCCTACGATTTTGCAAGTTCTCAAGCCTCTTATTCTTTATCACACTTAATGCGTGTTATTGCCGATGTTGATCCAAAACGAAGCATAACTGCAATTATCGGAGCTCTTCTCGAAGGGCTTAAAAAAACGAAAGGTTTCTATGAATATAAAGGCGAAGGCGGACTTCTTACACAATATATCGATTTAAAAGGTTGGTTGGTTTTTTTTTAAAAAAAAAAAAAAAAAAAAATTTTTTAACCAAAAAATACTAAAATTTATTTTTTTTCTCATAGCTAAAGATATAGCCGAAGTCGAAAAAGCGGAGGTTATATTTAGGGGTTTAATTTCTCTTCACGGATATATTGGGTTGCTGTCAGATGTTTATTGTACCCCAGTTTTTTCTCATGGAAAGAGTGCATCATCAGTTATAGAAGCCTTCGTTGGTGCCGACAATATTGTTCTACCATCACTTGGTGAATTGCATCGGTAAGATTGTAATTAATAATTTCGATAGTTTTATAAATTCTAGTGCTTATTTATGTATCTTCTCTAATCTCATGAATATTTTTTTAGTGCTTGTGTATGGGAAAATGTTATTCTGAAATCTACCGTTCCCAAAGCATGGTATAGCACCCCAGCTAAGACAAAAAAGCCTCTTATTCCAGAAGTTCCATCACATGCCGTATTATCATTACTTGATGAAATTGAAAAAGATGTTACTGACACAAACGAACCTCCAGTCGATCAAAATAATCCCAAAGTTAAAAATGCCAAATATTTCAAATTCCTCGTATCTCAAATACCCGCAGTTATAACTCCACTGTTTCAAGGTAAATGATTGTAGCCTAAAACTCAATATTATTAATGAATTATAATCAAATTTTATTTATTTATAGGTTTGGCTAAGATGTTGTTCTCTCGAAAAGCGCCAGATACTTCACAAAGAAAACAAGCATTTAAAGTTTCGGACGCAATTGCTGAAGTTTTACGTGATCATCTTATGTGGGATCGTTACAGTATGTTAGATTATTATTGTGGCATCCTTTATTTTGTAAATATAGATATTTATTATTATTTTTACTTTTTTCCCCTCTTTAGATATGGACAGTGAATCTGATTCAACCAATAAATATAGTTATCTTACAGTGATGCTCGGACTTTTATCTTTACTGTTTCTTGATGGTAAATTTACAAATGATTTGATAATTGGTATACGGATTATGAAATTTCATATATTCCAACATTACTAACCTGATATTATTTCCAATATTTAAAGATCGTAGTCAGGTCTCTCTTCAGACGATGCTTGTGGTTTCATTTGATAAGGCTGATGGTTTAGAAATTATATTTAGACTCCTTAAAGATTTTTGGAACGAAGCAGAGGGAATTAAAGCCCTTGATGAATTTTCAACCACGATTGAGGCCGATGATAAAACGAAAGAAAAACTTTCCCGAATTCATGGATGCATTGAAGCTATTCTGCATTTCTTCCAATTTGTCGGATCATCTAAATTATTGCATGATTCAGCTCAGACAGTACCTCTGACTACAAAAGATAGAGATTCACGTAATGGTCCATTCGATCCATTTGAATTTCTTGTAAATATTCGAGCCAAAATTCTTCCAGTAATCAAAGATCTTTGGAAAAGTCCATATCTCCCTAAAGCACCCCCAAATATTATTCGTTCCGTAATTCAAAATCTAGTTCAAACTTTAAAAGCTGAAGGTGAAGTTAATCAACGTCCTGAGGGATCAAGTTCAAGTGGCGGTTTAGCTTCAGTTGCTTCCGTATTTGGTGCAACAAGGTCTCTCGTTCCCGATGAAGATAGAGTACGACAATTGATTGATATGGGTTTCCTTCGTTCAGCAGCCGAAACTGCGCTTATAAGGTGTAATAATCATGTGGCAACTGCTGCCGAGTATTTGGTAACACATCCACAAACAGTTGCTGATGCTGTCTTTGCGGAAGAAGCAATTCGAGATTCAACAGCAAATTCTGTCACTGGAGACGCAGCAAATATCAGTCAACAAAATATTACTTCAGGTGAGGATGAAGAAACATCTGATGATGATGATGAAGGTGGTTCTACTGATCAGTTAGAACAAGCTCTCGCTTTATCAATGCAAGGCAATCCTCCACCTGAAGAAAATGCCAGTACGAGAGAAACATCTGTACCAATGGAAACATCTGTACCAATGGAAACAGAATCTACTACACCAAAGAAACTTGACAAAGGAAAGGCAAAGGAAGTTCCATCAACCGAAAGTTTTAAGGATCTTCGGGCTACACTTAAATCTGTCGCCGCGGTTCGTGCAATTGAACTTTTAGATCAAGTAGAAGGGATCATTTTTGAAGTTAAAGATTTACTTGTTCTTTTAAGCAAAGAGAATGCAGAAAAAACTATTGAAATAGTAATAAAATACATTGAATCAATAAGAGCGCATACAGATGAACAACGTAAAAAGGTTTTAAGCTCACATTTGAGGCTATTGGCTCTTTTATTAAATGATACAAGTATACAAGGCAAGATTCCTCATTTACCATTTAACATTTTTACGGATATGTTACATATGGTTTCTGAGCAGATTGACTTGTCTCCTGAGATACCTTTACCAAAGTGGTTGGCTCCGGCTTTGTTAGTGGTTGAGGCCTTCATATCATTAGCTGATGAACCCACAACAGTTGAATTAAAAACTAAGCCTGAAGAAATTAAAGAAACCGAAGACACAATTATGGAATCTAGTAATCCAACAGATTCACAAAGATTGGAACTTCTCGATTATTGCATATCATTATTCAAAAGAAAAGATTTAGATAAGGATATCACCAATGCATTACTTCGAATCCTTGTGCGTATTACTCGTCGGCATTCAGATGCAATAGAATTTGTAAATAAAGATGGTTTGGCAACTTTAATTAATGCATTTAAACCAAAAGCACATGATTTCCGTGGGCAACAGATCTTTATTGTAATGATATTAAGACATGTAATTGAAGATTCTTCCGTATTAGAAGCAATTATGGATCGAGAAATTAGAAATTGTTTAACAAATCCACGCCCTCGTTCCATCGATATCAATGGATACCTACGGAATACTGCACAATTTGCTCTACGAAATCCTGATCTATTTATTAAATCTACTAAAAAACTCTGTCACTTATCAAGATATGACCCAAGTGGGCGTAATCAACAGATAAGTTTAATAAAGCAAGAACATGATTCCGGAAATGCCGAAAACAAAGATACAATGATTAATGAAGAAGAAATGACAGATGCAGCTTCATCTACATGTCCTTCTATAGGAAAAATTTCATTTAGTTCTGATATGGCTGAAACTCTTATTCAATTTATTGCAAATGAATTAATCTCAATTCGAAGTCATATTAGTACAGATACTAAACCAACAGTTGAAACGACAACAGAAAAGGCGCCTTCTGAAAATGTCAATATGGATCATACAAATAATACGAATTCTATAGAAAATACAATCATCACTGCAATTGGTGGAAATTCCCAAACTACACAAACCACATTTAAACCTGAAGAACATTTAGATTACTTATGTCGTTGTTTCTTACTCCAATGTTTAACCGAACTCTTGTCATCATATCCTTCTTGTAAAGTTGAAGTAATGAACCTTTCACGTCGAAGAAACAGTATGGGACATGGAAATCAATTAAAATTAAAAACCCCACTGTTGAATTATCTTTTAACCGAGTTATTACCATATGGTTGTATCACACCATCAAGTGATATTGAAATCCGAAAACGTTATGGACAATCGAAATGGACAACCTCAGTTTTAGTAGCATTATGTTCAAACATAAGTAATGGTCCAGAAGATAAAAAACCTCAACCAGAACTCGTTCAAGTTAGAAAATTTGTTATAGATAATATCATTCGTTCATTCAAAAGTGCCATTTCCTCTTCTGACCCAATAGAGGCTAAGTATGGTAGACTTTTGGCTTTAGCAGAGTTATGTTATGCTATTCTGACGGCACGTACAAGTACAAATAATAATGCAAACAAACCTGTCGAAGATGGTCACGCTAGCATTGCTAAAATTATGTTGGATAAAAATTTTGTAAATACTTTAACGGATGCTCTTGCTGAAGTTGATCTAAATTACCCTTCAGCGAGAATATTGATAAATGCCTTATTAAAACCTTTCGAGTTTCTTACGAAGGTTGCTATCAAATTGGGTCGATCTCCTGAACCTGAAAAAGTTGAAAAAAATAAACGTCGTGAAAGTATTTCATCCATTTCCACACCTTCTGCTGATGAAATGGAACCAGAAGAATCAGAAGAAGCACCTGACCTATATGCAACTTCTTCACTAGGTGCTCTTGAAGGAAGAACGGTAGATAGTGATGAAATGGATGATGAAAGTATAGATTCATCAGATGACGAACAAAGATATGACGCCGAATTTGATGAAGAAAGTGATCAAAGTGATTTAAGCGATGATGATGACATAGATAATGATGATGAAAATAATGACGATATGGACGTAGAAATACTCGTCCGGCAACCAATTCATAACCATCCCGTAATAGAAAATGAAGGTGAAGATAACCATCATGAACAAGAGAATAACCGAGAAGTTAGTCCTCATTTAGATCACCTAGATAATGATGATGATTCTGATGAAGACGAACATATTCACACTCGAGGTGGCGATAATGATCAAGAAATGTGGGATGTTCACGATCAAGTTATGATAGAACATGGAGATATTGCTGAAGAAGTTATTGATAGTAGTGAAGGAGGACATATTCACCGACATCGCCGTCTTGACAGATATGGAGGTAATGATGATGTTGTAGATAGAGATATTATGTTAGTAGACGAGGATGAGGATGAAGATGAAGACGAAGACGAAGATGAAGACGAAGTAGATGATGTTGAAGAAAATGTATTAGATGGTGGAGATGTAATTGATGATGGTTATGATGATAGTTTAAATTGGGGGAGTTGGAATCAGCCCGGATCATTGTTCGTAAATGATGATGATTTTACAATTCCAGGTCGTCCAGGTCGTACTTTATTTAGCTTTGGAAACCGAAGACATCGCCATCTTCCTGGTCGAAGAAACCTTATAGAAGTTCCTCAAGATGGTCTTGATTATGTAATTGGAGATCCTGTTGGTTATGGATTTAATTTTGGTACAAATGAAGAAGTAGATATTCCAGGATTAGGACGAAATCGACCTCTAACAAGCACAAACGACGAAGTTACTACTCACCCCCTACTAGTTAATCGATCACCAGCCGTTCCTTCAGTGACCGCTAACGAACTTACTAGAGGAAGAAATATTCGCAATGGACCTTTAGGTGATTGGACTCAATCAATTGAAGAATTAATCGGAGGTGGTGCTGTTCAGTTATTAGAACAATTACTTACTAGAAGTCGTGGTTTAGGCCATTCAACATACCGACTTGAACTTAACACATCATCGCCCGCATTGGTAAGCAACATTGAAGTCGATCGGGTCTTCCCAAGATCTCTTTCGACGTCTCAAGATTCCCACAACGTAACTGTTCCCAGTGATCCAATTACTGCTGTACAAGAATTTATGCCACATTCTACTTCTCAACGTTGGTATGACGAAGCTCGAATGATGTACGGTGCTTCAGTATCAGAGAAAGCCACAAAACTTGTGAACCATATTTTGAACGCATTGATACCCCTAGCTTTGGAGGAAGACAAAAAAAGAAAAGTGAAAGAAGAAGAAGAAAAGCAAAAAAGAGAAGAGAAACGACTTCGAGAAGAAGAACGACGAAAAACTGAAGAAGAGGCAAGAAAAAGAAAAGAAGAAGAAGAAGCAAGACTTCGAGCAGAAACGGAAGAAACTTCCGAAACCCAAGTTACAGTCGAACAAACAATGAATGAAACAATGAATGAAACAATGAATGAATCAATGAATGAATCAATGAATGAATCAATGAATGAATCAATGAATGAATCAATGAATGAATCAATGAATGAATCTGAAGAAGTTGTTGAAATTACAGAAGTAACAGAAATAGTTGATTTACCAGATGTCATGCAAGAAGACGCCCCAATAGTTGAACAAGAAATTCTAATAGAATCTTCGGCAATGGAGGAAGAACCAACTCCTGCGGTGGACCTCACTATGGATGAAGATGTATCTACTACATCAGCCGTTGCCGGTTCATCACAAGCGGCGGCAAGTGAAAACGCGGTAGAAGCTTCAGAAGAAACTCAAGTCGCTAGAACTACTGTCGTAATCAATGGTCAAACAGTAGATATCACAGATACTGGAATTGATCCAACTTTCCTTGAAGCATTACCTGAAGAACTAAGAGAGGAAGTTCTTAACCAACATTTACCACCCGAAAGACGTAATAGAAATCCCGTCCCAAGTGGACCAGGTGGACCGGGTGAACCAATCAGTTCAGAATTTTTAGCTGCTTTACCCGATGATTTAAGAGAAGAAATTATGCAACAAGAAGAAGCTTTTGAACAAGAAAGGTTAAATCGTCACCGACCAACAACAGAACCGGCCGCTACAGATATGGATGCAGCAAGTTTCTTTGCTTCATTAGATCCCCAACTTCGTCAAACCGTACTTCTTGAACAAGATGAGATGGTTCTTGCCTCATTACCTCCTGCCATAGTTGCTGAAGCCAATGCACTTCGAGAAAGAGTTAGTCGAAGATACACAAATGCGGTTAGAACTCGGACATTACCAAGTTCTTCTACACCACAAATACATGCACCTAAAAAACCTACAACTCAACGTGACGCAATGAAACTCGTGGATTCTACAGGATTGGCTACATTAGTTAGATTGTTGTTCTTACCTCAACCTTTAGGAAACAAAAATTTGTTACTCAAGTTATTGCTCAATCTTTGTGAAAATAACAAATCACGTGGAGAACTTATCACAATGCTTCTTTCAGTTTTATATGAAGGAAGTGGGGATGTATCAGCAGTTGATAAAAGTTTCGCACAAATGTCTCTAAGAGCAAAAGGGACAACAAAAGGAACTCCCAAAAGACAACAAAGTTTACCAAATTCTTCTCTTGCACAAATAACTCAAGCAGCGGGAGAAAATGTACCTAATTTAATAGCACAGCGATGTTTAGAAGCATTAACATATATAGTTAACTATAATGAAGCATCAGTTAACTATTTCTTGATGGAACAAGAAAATAACATTGGTCTTAAAAGATCGAATAGTCGTAAAGGCAAAGAAAAACAATCAAAAATAATAAGTAAATATCCAGTAGTTATATTATTAAGCTTACTCGATCGACCAGTTTTCTTAAAAAATACTGCATTGATGGATCAATTAATGCATTTACTTTCATTTGCTTTACGTTCTCTGTCGACTATGGCTAAAAGTGAATCGTCTAGAGAACCATCAAATCCTGTCAATACCAATTCTACAACAGAAAATAATAATGAATCAAACAATGCCAATAATTCAAATAATTTAAATCAAACATCAAATAATTCAAATAATAATAATAATCCCGATAATAATAATCCCGATAATTCCAATAATCCCGAAAATCCTAATAATTCCAATAATTCCGATAATTCACAGCAAACATCTTCACAACAACAACAAACGACTACACAACAAACGTCTATTACACAAACGACTGCACAACCACCACAGCAACAAACATCTACACAACAACAAACGACCACACAACCACAACAAATATCTACACAACAACAATCATTAAACCAAAATTCCGAAAATGGATCGGGTCAAGCTCAATCTCAAGAGAGTACTACTAATAATCAACAAGAAAATTCTACTAACAATAATAATGATGGTAATTCTAAAGGTGAAATTTTAAAACCTTCAGAAGTTATGAAACCTCCAGTAATTCCCGAATATTGTTTGCGCCTAGTAGTAAACGTTTTAACTGCTGGTGAATGCACTAGTAATACATTCAAATATACATTGTCAGTAATTCAACATCTTTCAACTCTAAAAGGTGCCAAAGATGTTATAACATCAGAATTAGTTGAAAGAGCACAATCACTTGGAAATGATATATTAGATGACTTGGATGAATTGGATAGGATATTATCTAAAGCGGATAGTGGTGTAGATGTTCAAGGTGTGACTTTAGCGAAGTTTTCACCCTCATCTTCAAAACAAGCGAAATTACTTCGTGTCCTTAAAACAAATGATTATATGTATTCCCGAAAACAATCAAGTTCTACATCAAACACTCAAGTTTCATTAGCTCCTACAGTAGATCCGGATGAAGTAGATAGTGCTGTTCCACGAACATTAGATAATAAAAATAATAAATTAACGGAGGATGAAGAGAAAGTTATGAAAATATATGATAGTCTTAATTTCTCAGAACTTTGGAAAAAATTAGGTAGATGTTTGACAACAATACAGGAAAAATCAGACATGATACATGTAGCGACCGTACTTTTACCACTTATTGAATCACTAATGGTTGTATGCAAATATGTTGGAATGACACCATCTACAACTCAAAATATAACATCATCTATTTCCTCAGAAAATAGGGAAAGTAAAGAGGAATTATTCTTTACCTTTACGGAAGATCATCGCAAAATACTAAATACAATGGTTAGAAACAATCCTTCATTAATGAGTGGATCATTTTCATTGCTTGTACATAATCCTAAAATTCTTGAATTCGATAACAAGAGAAATTATTTCAATCAACAATTACATAAGAGAAGTCCAGTTCGAGATCATTATAGTACTTTACAACTTAATGTTAGAAGACAATACGTATTTGAAGATTCATTCCAGAACTTGCAAAGAAGAACCGGAGATGAGATTAAATATGGTAAATTAAGTGTTCGTTTCTATGAGGAAGAAGGTGTGGACGCAGGTGGTGTAACGAGAGAATGGTTCCAAGTTCTGGCCAGACAAATGTTCAACGAAGATTATGCACTATTTAAAACATCAGCAGCAGATAGACTTACATATCAACCAAATAGAGCTTCAGGAGCAAACCCCGAACATTTATTATTCTTCAAATTTGTTGGTCGAGTTATAGGTAAAGCAATTTATGATGGAAGACTTTTGGATGCATACTTTACACGTTCATTCTATAAACATATACTCGGAAAAGCTGTTGATTATCGAGATGTAGAAGCTATTGATTTAGGTTATTATAATAGTTTAGTATGGATGTTGAATAATGATATCACGAATGTTATGGACTTGACATTTAGTGTTGAAACGGATGATTTTGGTCAAAAGAAAGTCTTTGATTTGAAACCTAATGGAAGGAACATCCCTGTCACGGAAGAAAACAAACGTGAATACGTTACACTTGTCACTGAACAAAAACTTACATTAGCTATTAAGGATCAAATAGAGAATTTCCTTGCCGGATTTCATGAAGTTATTCCTGCACATTTGATCAGTATTTTCAATGAACAAGAATTAGAATTGTTAATTTCAGGAATGCCGGATATTGACATAGATGATTGGAAGAATAACACAGAATATCAAAATTATACAGCTTCTTCACCTCAGATTCAATGGTTCTGGAGAGTTGTAAGAAGCTTTAGTCAAGAAGAAAGAGCGAAACTCTTACAATTTGTTACTGGCACATCTAAAGTGCCATTAGAAGGATTTTCTGCATTACAAGGTGTTCATGGTGTTCAAAAGTTCCAAATTCATAAAGATTTTGCAAAACCAGATCGTCTTCCTTCTGCTCACACATGGTAAGTTAAATTCATTAAATTATGTATTAAATTGCTTATTAAACTGTTTATTTATACATTTATTTATTTATTTTATTGCATTTTACAAAATAGTTTCAATCAACTTGATATTCCCGAATACGAAGATTATGAGCAATTAAGAAAACAATTATTACTGGCAATCTCTGAAGGAACAACTGGATTTGGTTTCCAATAAATGGTTTTTATTTGTTTTATTTGTTTTATAAGTTGATAGTAGAATCACATTAGACATTTGTATAAACATTTCTTTAAAATATTTATCTTGTTTGGGGTTTACAATACATTGTTTATTTAAAAAAAAAATGTATTGATTTACATTGTAATTTCATTTTAATTTTTCATTTTTTCAATTTTTTCTGGAAAATATTATTTGCTTTTTATAATTATTTTTTTTTTTCAATTATTATTTTTTTTTCAAATACTCTTTATTATTTTGTATATTTCTTTGTTATTTCTTTGTTTAGGTAGTTTTTAAAGATTTGGTTGACCAATCTTTTACATCAAACCTGAATTATTATAATAAACAAAACTTTCTTCAAAAATGCTATTTTTTTATTGATGCGTCAAATGGATAAAATCATGACAATACAATATAAAAATTAAAGTAATTAATACAACTAATTTACATTCCAATTATTTAATTTATTTCTATATTTGATATGTAAATAAATGCTGTGTCTATAATTTGTGAAAATTGTTAAATCATTATAAATTATGTTTGCATGTTTACTTAAAATACGTAGAAATACAGCATTTACAAAATAAAATAAAAATATAAATACAAATAATAATAATTCATTAATCCACGACTTTTGTTAATAAAAATTCTGCGATTTCTTCAAAATATCCTTCCTGCGAAACTGTATCTTGATGTGATCCAAATGGAAATTGTTTAAGTTTCTTTCCACCTTCAGTTTTAACCAAATCGTGTAACTGTTTAACGTGTTCTTGAGGTATAAGCTTATCCGCATCTCCAGATAGAAATAAAACCGGAATTCGCTTAATAAGTTGTATAGATTTTTCGGAATCCCATTTTTGAGTACAGCAAAACGAAAAGTGACGAAGTTGTGGTATAACATGTGGCAAAAGTTTTGGCTAACAATTTTAAATAAAATAAATAAATTAAATTAAATGAGAAAAAAAAAAAGATGTATATTGAAATTATCTACTTACTATACTAAGGAAAGTATTTTCAACAATCAGACCCGCAACCTAATCATAATAAATAAAAAAATAAAAAAATAAAAACAGAGAAAATCAAAAAAAAATAAAAAATAAATAAAAGAGAGAAAAGCACAAATACCTTATCCTCATTTTTTGATACTAAATCAATTGCCACGGCACCACCAAGTGATTGTCCATAAACTATTACTTTGGTATGCCTGAATATATCATGTTTATCAATGTAATCTAACACAGTCTTTGGTATAAAAGAAAATAATTTTATTAATGAAATAAGAAATAAAAAATAAATGAGATAAAAAAATAAATGAGATAAAAAATAAATGAGATAAAAAATAAATGAGATAAAAAATAAATGAGATAAAAATAAATGAGATAAAAATAAATGAAATAAATAAAACTTTTATAATTCTTTACTTGTGCATCTATCCGAAGTCCCTTTTCTGAAGGAGTTCCTTCACTAAGTCCATATCTAAAATAATAATTATGAATAATTATCAAAAATTCCGTAATTAATCTCGACAATAAAATTGCATATAATCTTTTTCTTACCCTCTATAAGACAACATTACCACATTACATTTGAAATTTTTATAAAATTGTTTAGCAATAGGTAAACAATGTCCCTTTGTCCAAATAAATTTTTAATTTTTTATCAATTAACATAATAAAATATTTTTCCACATAATATATTCATTTAATAAATATTATATTCTACCATATTCCCTGCATTTCCCTGAATCAAAATTAAAATATATAGAATTTAATAATATGTAAAATTTAATGGACTATTACATATGCATTTCAGAATACGCACATGAAATAACAAAATAGTTGGCCTCGTCCGAGCTGTAATATTATCTCCCAGCTGTAATACATAAATTCGAATTTTTACATTATCCTTGGTGGTTAATGTTATATCTTCATAATGTGGTATCCCGTAATCTAAAGGCTCTGATACCTTTTATATAACAAATATAATGAGTCGGAACATAGTATTATGAATTTCATAATCATAAAACTAGTTTCATACTTCTTGTCTTGAGCCTTCCGGGTAATTTGGAAGATATATTATATTGCACTGGAATGAACCAAGAAATTTTGCGCCGTCGGCCAAAAATTTACAATATCTAGTAATGGAATTCATTCTTTTATTGTATAATTTGATAATTTGAAAATTGTGTTCTGGTTAAAACCTTATGAGTCACGCGTAATGCGTCGTATGCATCTTATTATATACACACCTAAACTATTATTGTTAAAGCTCACCGCCGGGCAAAATTACATAATTCCCTGATCAACCCTAACCCTAACTTTGCCCATGTAATTTTTAGCAATTTTCTTATAAAAAAATAAATAAATAAAACAATTTTAAAACATACAGAGATATATAATCAGTAAAGAATCAGTAGATTTTTTTTATGTTTTTTCTTTCTTTACATATAAAATTAAATTATATTTTCAAACTATCACATGACCTAAAGAATATCCATTATACTAAGCATTACTATATATTAATAGTTTCCAGTGATTCATATTAGGAGTGTGTAAACAAACATAATTTAAAATACAATTATTTTCTTAATTTTACTAGTGTAATTTATACAAATATTGATATGCATGCATATATTACAAAATATCTCGCATATCTTGAACATGCTAATTTTTTCTAGCGGTACAACATTTTTCTATATCATTAATTATTCGGTTCAATGATTTGGAATGAAATAAATAGGCTCCATGATCCAATCCTCTCATTACATGAACATTAATATTATTCTTTACAAGATATCTATGTACGTCGCCTGACGGAACAATATTATCGTGTTCTGATAGGTAGATGTAAGTGTTGGCTGGTAGAAGGTTACGTGGTTTGACGAAAAGAGCGGATTGATACCAATGGAAATTACGGGAGAAGAATTTTGATATATATAATTCACGCGACGCTAAATATGAAAAAAAATGCTACACATTTCGTTTGATTAATAGTTTGATGATTATAATTAGTTTAGATTTATTCTTTACAATCAAGAATTACAGAAATAAAATTAATAATAAATGTGGATATGTACCTCATTCGCGGCTGTAGGATTTCTATATACAAAATTATAAGCTACATTTGGGTAATGTAATAAGAATACAATTGGATCTATCATCACGAGGCCACCGACAATTTTCCTAGATTCTTTAATAACCCATGCACAAACAGCTGTACCCATTGAATGTCCAACAAATATTGCTTTGTGAAATCCTCGTTTGGAAAGCATAATTTCAATTTCACGAACTACTTCATCCATTGTCAGGACATCTTCTACCATTTGCATAGTAATATGTGGCAATTCAATTAAAAATAATGGACGATCTAACTTTTGTAATTTTCTTATAAAGGTAGCATAACAAAACAAGCCACCCGTTACTCCATGAATAAATATAATAGGTTTTTGATTTTTCTTTGCATGGGGAGGTTCATAATACCAATAAGAAAGTCGTGGTGGTGATGGTGATTTACTATTTGCTTCTTGAATCTCAAATTCAAGTGTACTTGACCAAATACTTTCTCTTGATCCAAAACGTTTAAACCCGTTAATTTTTAGCATTGAGCTAAACGTGGAATTTAATAGGAAAATAACCTGTCATGGAAATATTTAAAAAAAAAAATTATTATTATTTTTTAATTAACAATAATTCGTAAATTTATAAATTTTTCATAATTAAAAATCTAAATCACTCACGGCATAAAAAATAAAGGGTCGGTGAACAGCTTTGACTGGATCAAGAGTAAGTCGTATACAAGTGCAGTTAGGATTATATCCTTCTGGAAACTTTATATTTTTTTTTATCTCAATACCATCAATCATTGATTCTATTTCATAAGACAATTCGGGATCATATCTCACATGTTCAAGAGTTGTTGAGAAAAAACTCCAGGCTAACCTAAATAATTGAACAAATAAGAAATTTAAAAGAGAATCTCTAACGAAAAACACGAAAAACACGGTCAAAATACTTACCATTCAGCAAAATTTTCTCTATATATCTCACTAAAAGTGAATTTCTTATGACCAACATTGAACCAACCTTCGATCCAAGTATCGAATCTATCAACTGTTTGTAACACATTGATGAAAAGTTCAGCTCTCTGACATTTTGACGGAACAACTGGCAAATTTTTTTTTTGAAATCTAGATTTTGTTACTTCAAAATAAAGATGAAATATTAATTCGAATCCAAGCCAATAGTGTAGGAATACGGATAATGAAGAGTACATAATTGCGTCTGAGAACGTATCAGGGAAAAACTCGACTAACAACGATTTTCGTTGGGTTAGATAGTAGAAATAATATACAAAAGCCGAAAGTGGTATTAAAAATGAATGTATCCACATAATAATCCGAATGCAGACACGAGCCATCAAACTATCTCCTATCATATTGTATTTAATATATTTAATATAATGATTTCCACGGTGTCAAAAATTCTGGACTTTAAGTAATAAAAGTAAATAAACGAGTACTATTTATATAAATTTTTAATCATATGTGATATGTGTTGTGTAATGTGATGATGTCAGGTACTAAATAAATCATGCAGGTACATGAATTTACGTCACATTTATTTTTTAAATTATAAAAAAATTATATACATTTGGAATAGATTCAAGAAAGTCTGGCGCAACGCAATTATTTATAATGAGGCCAAGTTTGGATTTAATGTGAGATTTAACTCAGATGTATCTGTGATAAAATCACGTTAAAAAAATAAAATCATCAAAGTTATACAGTTATACAAAATTTTTTTTTATTGTAGATTTTAAAGATTTAAAAATAAAATATCTTAAATATCTTTGGTGTGCCATATAATTATTAAAAAATATAAAATATACAAAATTTAAGCACAACTATGAACAAAAATTAAGGAATTGAAAGGTTACACATCTAATGTTAATCATTATTCTTTCAATTAAGTTTAACAAATGAAATGCTCGAAAATCTAGTCTTGAATTAAAATTATTGTTAAATAGATATTTGGTTAGTATATGTGATGGAATTTTTTTAAAATCACTTAGTTAAATCTCTCACTTTTAGCAGCAATAAAATTTTTTATGTGATAAAATCATAGATCTAACTCTAAGTTTGACGTTCTTTATTTTTATTATCGTGATATTATTTCAAATATCATGAGATCTGCGCACATTAGATAATCTAGCATTCAATTGACATTTTTATTTTTTATTTTTATTTTTTTTTTTTCGATCAAGAAAACAAATAAATTTAAAACCTTAAATGCATTATGATACCAATTACGGTCGAGCTATATTATGTGTCGTTCTATATAAGTGTGTGATAAAGTTGATCAAAATGTACAATTAAAAAAAGTGCTAAAAAATTATGTCACGCGCGTTCAGCCTTCTTTCCAAAATGAAAATTCATGATACGCCATTGATAACAATTTTTGGGGAGTGATTTTTGTGATTTTGTGATATTTACATGTGAAAAAGGAGTTATTTTTATAAAATAAAATATTTTATTCTTCAAAAAGATGATATCTTAAATATTTTAAAAGAGAAAAAAAATTGCAAAGATCAAACTATGATAAAAATTATTCATGTATTCATGAGAACAATTTGTAATTTTATATTTTAAAGATGAATTACTACGCTCTAAACATGTGAATTATGTAGTTCATTTTTTTTTTTTGGATTAGGTTTACTTGAAACTGATAAGACTAATTTGAAATAATGAAATAAAAATGAAATAAACATCGAACGCTACAACCTTCACATTTGATACTCGATTAAATTGGGATAAATCGTAAAAACTACCTTTTTTACACGGTAAATATAACTTTGTCAAAGATTTTCTTTATTTGTTACGAGATATCGTAATTGTATTACTATTACTATTTTAAAATAAATTACATCGAGCCTTTTTTGTTATTGGTTTTACAAAAATAACAAAAGCCACCCAATTCAGTGGAAATAAAAAACAAATCGTTTTTTTTTAAAATAACTAGCCATTTCAGTTGTGATTGACAAAATTAATTAGTATTATATTGTTGTACATTTTTTTAAAAAATAAAAGTACATTTGATCTTGAAATTTCAGTTAAGCTTTAATATTCCAGAAGTACATTTTGATCAGTCATAAATGCTGATCGATCTAGATAGGACATCGACTAAGAGCAACATATGCTTGTCCTGATGAAAAAATATTTCAAATTTATTTATAAATTTCAATAATTTAAATTGCATAAACTTTTTTTAAAAGAATCCTCTGATAAAAGCTATCATATGATATCTTATTTATTAAAATTGGATGCCTGCTCGCGCAGAAATCTTGCCTTAAATAAAACTAATCAAAAATATTGGATCGAATTGTTAATAGTAATGTCTTTCGATTTCAATAAGTATCCATCGTAAATACCAACTATCTTATATGAACTTGTAGCTTAAAACTAGAGCTACAACTTTTTATTAATACCATATTTAGGTGTTTCTAATTAAAATTAGAACGTTACTTAGACACGACTAAAATCTATCGAAATTTTTTAAAATATGATTAGAAATTAAAAAATATTTACTAATCGTATTTCAATTAAAATTATTTTAAATAAAATATTATATTTTTAATTTTTTTCAAAATGTCGGAATACACATGAAAAAAAAGGATCGAGTATGGTTTATTTATTTTTTTAAATCTGGTTATAGCCAAACTGTATTTGCGGCGCACAATTTTTGATTTCGTGAAACAATATTAATAATCAACAATTAAATAATCAAATTGTTATATTATTTTTAAATGCCAACTATTCTCTGGGTTACTCTTCTAAATGGTATCGATATCGAGTACGTTCTCGATCACTTATTCGATTCATATTATACTATTATTTAAATTCTTGACCTTTTTTTTCCATTTCATGGGCAAGTGTTTTGAAAATCTTTTTCTTACACTTTTACTAGTGTACACAGTATTCACCAATTAGATGAAAGCATATTGCGCCGTGTCTTCGACGTGACTTTACTGAAAAAGGAATAACGGTAGGCGAGAATTATAAATAAATTCATTATAATTATTATTTAATTCCCTGACCCTATTAATTTTGCAAATTCAAAAATTGGAAAGCTTTCATTTTCTAGCTTATTTCAACTTTCTAGCTTATTTCAACTTTCTAGCTTCGTTATTAATAAAGTTATTGCATCCGAAAACATTAAAATAATTTATGCAATGCAATAAATGAGTGACGTATATTTTCTGTAATAATTATGCTTTCTTTTAATATTTTCTAAAAAAAAAATGTTGGATAAATTCTGTTATCTTCTTTTTATGACACTAGATAAGGTTTTCCTGTTCAATTTCACATGTTTGTAATCGATTAAATTTGTTTGTTATCTATCAAAAATAAATATCCTATAAGATTAATTTTAAATTTCATTGTATTGAAACACTTTACCTAATAGAGATATATATATCATTTGAACCTGGAAAATATTGCGGATATCCTTTACATGAAAATAAGCATTCTTAAACCAATGTATTTGAAAATGTTGTTCCACTTCTTTATCAAACAATGATTATATTGATTATTACATTTTTATACTTTCACGACTAATGTCAACATTGTGTGAATAATTTTTTATTATCTATCATTATTTTAGTCATAATTAATTATAAGAATAAGAATTATAATATATATTACGAAGCCTAGATTATCATTATCTCCGGATTGATAACTTGAAAATGCAGCAAAAAACTGGTTTAATTTTTCTGAATACCTGAATATGTGCCGATGTGTAACACAAATTCATCATAAAGCATTAATGGGTCACTGGACTTACCTTCTATAAATTATCATAAAGCATTAATGGGTCACTGGACTTGCCTTCTATAAATTATGCAAAGGTATTGTTTTTGATATATTTATGGTTATTTTTTTGATAAATCAAATTTCATGTGACAAAATATTATTTTTTTTGATGCATCTATAAATAAAACAATTATAAACATATCAAAAAAAATGACACGTATTTGATGTATCAAAAAAAATAACCATAGGTGTCTCAAAAACGATACTTTAGCATAAATTATCATAAAGCATTAACGTGTCACTGGACTTGCCTTCTATAAAGCATTAATGGGTCACTGGACTTGCCTTCTATAAATTTTAAAGTTAATCTCCAATTTGTGAATACATTAATTCACAAAAAAAAATTATTAGATTATTGAAGAGTTACATCCCTTTTTTTAGTGTATTTTTATGCAAATCAACAAGATTATTGGATATAATCTACAAAGTTATTATTCAAATAACAATAATAAAGTTAACTTGGCTGTATTCAAAGCATTTTATTTTATTTCGTGTGCACTGTTTTGGTATGATCTTTGCTATAAAGAAATTTGTATTTGTTATAAATTGGATATTCCATTCACCTAGAAAAAAAGTGCTAGTATTAGAAAGTGAAATAGGGAAACCAATAATGAAATGTAAATTAGTAAAAAGAAATTCCTTATAAAACAGAAGCGTTCTTTTGAATCAATTTCGTTATAGCAATTACCCCCACATGACAGATGTTATTAAAAAGAAGACATTTTTCATCTTGAAAATAATGAGGGTGTAACTATGCTGAAGATACTCGTGCTGTCCCTCTTGGCGGCGAGTGCCTCCCTTGGTATACCTTGAGATGCCATACTTCACGTTGGTCCACTCATTCGGCGGTGAAGCTATGAGTCAGTTGATATTCAAGTTATCTCTTGATAGTCGCCAGCCCCTTATCAGTCAAAATTTATTATTAAGAAAAAAAGGCCAGCTAAGTGATGATATATTATATAAAATGATGAATATATACATACAAATAATATTTTCGTGCAATGCTAAATTTTTTACAATCTATCAGATTTCGGGAAACAATTTCACCACATGGTCTTTTTCTATATCTATCTGTCTATAAATATCACTCCTGCTCACATAAACCTTATAGAGAATTTCTATTTTGCAAAAAAAGATGTACCATTATGCCAATGAGATGATTGTAAGATATTAAGAAAAGTAAAGGGTCCGAGATTATTAGTATATAAAATGCTACCTTAAATTTTTGTCATAATTTATGATGATAATTTTGATGTAAAGATAAGGTTTGATTAGTAAAAATTACTTATTTTGTTTGATTTCAATTTTACTTGACACAAGTTACTTCACCTCACTTTTATATTAGTTGTAGCGGTCTAAGAATCGAGATTGGGATCCCTAATATTACTCTAGAATGATTTTAATAATGAAAATCTAGATCGATAATAAATTTTAACAAGGTTCTTTTATAATTTTTTTGATTGCATGCAAGTTCGAGAATAAATTCTTTATTGCTGACATAATCCGGAATGTAAACCTGCCCTACTGTCGACCCACATTCGCAAATAGTAAATTTTTCTTTTCCTCAATAACTCGACTATTTTTCCTGGCTCTACCACTTCATCTTTATTTGGCTAACGTTATCTTTCCGTCACAACAGCGGTGTGAAAGTAAAATTGGGGATTTTTTTACATTAAAAATAGTGTGATCTATTATACAAAATACTATTACAAGAAAATTCAAGCTTTGTGTTCGAATATCTATCTAATGTCAAATTCAGCATAAAATTATAATTGATCTTAACCTTTCTAAATTCAATTCAATAGTTTTATAAAGTAAAATAATGATATCTTCCAAATTAATTACTTCAGTTAATAAAATTAATTAAAATATAATAACAAATATGCTAAAATTTGTTTAGAAAATTTATATAAATTCATTTTTGCAAAAAAAAAACTGATTCCTTAATAAATCATTTTCCTCGTATGGACTTATATTTAATCATGCCTCAGAACTTAATTTTATAAGGATCCTAAAAAAGCAGTTTTCCGACGGGATTTTATAGTTCCATTAATATAAAATCATATGATATTAGATAATCAGCTTTTTTATAATAAGATAATAAAATATCTTTATTTTGATTGGTTTAATTTATACAAAATTCATTTATTTAACATTAATTTTGATTGGTTATTAATTTTAATACTTTTCTTCAATATTTTGATTAATGACACCAAATAACACCATCTCTAATTATCATATTTTCTACATTATTATATGCTATAGTAATATTATTTTAAACTAAAGTTTTCTTATAATTAAATTAATTAAATTTATAACAAAAATATTTTAAAACAAATAGAATTTATCTTATTTATGCTTAAAAAAAGTCGAATTGAAAATTTAAAAAAAAAAAAATCATATTCACCAAATATTTTAAAATTTCTAATTTCTATGGAAAACCAATTCCATTAATTAAGAAAGACGCAAAACCATTTGGATCATTTACATAATTATTATTAGGTTGTCGTCTATAAAGTCTTTTTTTGTAATTTTTATTAATATAATTTACTTTATTTGCCAAAACGTCAAAACTTCTTCTTCGATCCGGGGATGCAGAAATCCAAAGATCATGACAAAGGTTTTTTAATGATGTATTAGTTGTAAGTGTAATGGTTTTCATCTTTAAAGAAAATTCCAATTGAATGAAAAATACGTTTTTTCCACTTATTGGTACTTTGTTTCCTCTCATATAGTGAATAATTTCTTGAGCATTCATTTCTAATAACGATATTGAATTCATATAGTGAATAATTTCTTGAGCATTCATTTCTAATAACGATATTGAATTCATATTTGAAAATTTTGAGATTATGATTTAAAAAATTTTGAAAATTTTTTATTTATAATTTAAAATTTAAAAAAAAAATATGAAAAAATGTTTTTGATGATGCTTTAAGAAATTGGTAACAGTAAGTAATTTTTTATTTTAAAAATGAAAAAAAATATTTGATGGAAATTTCTCAAAGGATGATAGATCAAGAGGCTTTATGATGCTTTATATATATATATATATGTACAGTAAATAATTTGGTATTTTAAAAAATGAAAAATATTTGGTGGAAATATCAGAAAGGGATTATCAAGATACTTATTTTTGATGATTTATATATTTTAAAGAAATTGGCACAGTAATTTTTGGATTTATTAAAATTTTTTCACGAATAAAAATCTTTTTTGTTTGATTCATATAAAAATCATTGAAAAAGTGAAACTTATCCCTAATTTGATTAGGAAGAATTACAGGAAATTATCTAATTCATATTTCTTATTATGTCATATTTTATCAAATTCTTATTTTGTCATTTTTATTTAAAATTACGTAAAATAACTTGCTCATTGGGAGGGTTAAAAATCACGTGACATAGAAGAATATTTTTATTATGTAATAAAGGTTAAATAAATAGGATTATTACATTTGCGAAATAATATTATAAATTTTCTTCTTAAAAAGTCATTAAATAATACATATATAATAAAATATTTAAAATATCTTACATCATTTTTTACACGTTATTTGAAATATAAAGAAAAAAAAAAAAAAAGAAATCATGAATCTAGATACTGTATTTATTTTTCTGAATTCAGTTAACATTCACATTCGCCACCATATTTTAATCCAAACTTGGCTTTGATCTCGTTACCCAAGTTTCCGAAAATCAATATCTGGTATCAAAGCATTATTGTTAAAATAAAGCATTTTCTTCCGGAATAGGAAATCTAGGAATGGGTTGCAGAAAGTATTTCATAAACGATGAACAAGATTTCATTACACGACAAACCTGAATGATCGATCAATGACAGTTAAATTTTCGATTTTAAATACTTCAATGACTCTTTTTTTGGAAAATATTATGTAAAAGTCATTGTACATACAGAATAAATACCGTATATCAATTAAGAAAGATACATTTTTAAATATAATATTATTTATTGTAAACAATATATATATATATATATATATGTAAAGGCAAGTATGAGAGCAAGTAAAAAAGACAAATAAAAAAAGTCAAGTATATAGCTTTGTGAAATAATTAATGCACCATTCGCTGTGTGTGTTATGTGTTAAGGGGTGAAATGTATTTAATTATCTCTTCTCTCACTTTCTCCTTAAACTCTTTCAAAAAACGACAGATAATATCTGCATGATTCGCATAGAAATAAAGCTATTATTGAACAATTTAAATTTATTACATTTTCACAAAACGTACAAATATCAAGTCTAGTAATTTAAAATTATCGAATTAATAATTATTTCTAATAATGAAGATAAGTTACACGCTTGTGAATTTATTATAATTCATGTTCTAAAAAGAAGAATCTCTAAATTTGTGAAATCAATTATTTAAATTATTTATTATTTCGAGAATTCTTTTAAGAATTTTATCCTTTTTCCGAGAGCACAAAAATTAATTATAATAATTGTGCCAAAATAGAGTAAACCATTTACGTATTATGAAAAAAAAAATCATCGCGATTTTTACTAACTAATTATTTATAGATAGAAATTCCAAAACGCCAACACATCAACACATCGCAGAATTCTTGGAGAGATTTCTATTTTAACTTTTCTATCAATTTTACTATATATATATAAAGTTAGTATAAATGAAGCATTTGTTTGACAAAATAAATCTTAAATGGATGACTTCTTTTATTTCGTTTTAATACTTAATAATACTAAATATAATAAATTACTCAAAAAGAAAATACATGAATTCGCATGACCGCATGACCGAATGACCGAGTTAGATAAAAAAAAAAAGAAAAATACATGATTCGATCACGATTAAAATCTCGAATGAGGCACTTTCTATAAGCCCCGAATTCTTCTTTCTTTTTTTTCTTTAGAGAAATGAATGTTAGAATTTTTGCATAATGTAACACAAAATTAAAAACGAATGATAATATAAAAAGAGTTATTTTAAACAAAAAATTTAGGAAGATTTATAAAGACCGGCTAATTCGATAAATAAAACCTCCTTAAAGAAATAAAAAAAAAAAATTAAAAATTTTAAATATTAAAAAATTCGGCTTAAAGCGAGGCTATATAATCGAAAAAGTAATATTTTGCTTGTAAATATACAAGCCATTTGGATTTAATAAATGAAATATCAAATAAAAATTAAATAAATTAAAAATTAAAAAAATTAATAATTATTTCATCATTTTTTATATTGATTACTGTAAAACACAATTGTAATACGTAAAAAGTTTATAAAAATAATTACTTTTATTCATTCATTCCTTTTAGAAATTTATTTTTTTTTTTTTTTGCTGATATTTTTATTCTGGTAATTATTCCCTATTCCCTTTGTGTAAAATGAATGAAATTTGTGGTTTTTTCAATTCGATGCTTTTTTACCTGTCATACATTAGTTACATTAAAATACATATATATATACAATAATATTATTATTATGACTTTAATTAAAAAATAAAAAAAAAAATGCAATCTTCTGAAACCTTGAGTTTCAACGATTCGTCGACTGTCGCTGAAACCTTAACTAACTCTAGTTCTTCTTCTTCAACCTCAAATAATTCTAGTCCTTCTTCTTCTTCGACCTTAAAAGATATGAAGGAAAAAAATGTAAATAAACCAACTGACGAAAGTTTTGATAGCCCGTTTGCGTTCGAACCTAAGACTCTATCAAATTTAGTAGATCCAAAAAGTTTAATTTCATTAAAAAATTTAAATGGATTAGAGGGTTTGATAAAAGGTTTACACACCAATTCACAAACTGGTCTAAATACTTCTGAATCCAATTTAAGTCCAGTAACAATAAATGATATAAATAAAGGAAAATATATTGAAAATACTTCTGAAAATCAAGAGGAATATGAAGAAGGTAATACCGAAAATTTTAAAAAAGAATCAATAATTAAGAATAAGGATAATAATAAAATAAAAAAGAGAAAATCATATATTGAACCTATTGATGAAAACGCTCCATTCTATCAAAGAATAAGAACTTATGGAAAAAATATTTTACCTGAAAGAAAATCCAAATCAATATTTGAATTGATGTGGATTGCTATGCAAGAAAAAGTTTTAATCCTCTTAACTATAGCTGCCATTATATCATTAGGTCTTGGACTTTATCAAGATTTTGGTAAAAAAGAAAATAATGAACCAAAAATTCATTGGATTGAAGGTGTAGCAATTCTTGTAGCAGTTCTTATTGTAGTATCAGTAGGTAGCTTAAATGATTGGCAAAAAGAACGTCAATTTCGAAAATTAAATGCTAAAAAAGAAGATCGTGAAGTTAAAGTAATTAGAAATGGAAAAGAATCTCTTTTATCAGTTCATGAAGTATTAGTGGGTGATATTCTTAAATTAGAACCAGGAGATATTATTCCATGTGATGGTGTAGTAATTGAAGCTCACAATCTTAAATGTGACGAATCAGCTGCCACAGGTGAAAGTGATGCCGTAAAAAAATTAAAATATGAAGAATGTATTAAAGAATTAAAAGGGGATGAAACAGATTCTACTTATAAATCAAAATTTGATCCATTTATAATAAGTGGAAGTAAAGTGTTAGAAGGTGTAGGAAGTTATGTTGTAATTGCTGTTGGAGTAAATTCATTTAACGGAAAAACAATGATGGGTACGTTTCATTTTTTTTTTCATTTTTTTTTCATTTTTTTTTTAGTAGTCACATAATTTATGTTTACGTTTGATATTTTATTCATATGATTTTCGTATTCTTTTGTATTCTTTTGTATTCTTTTGCATTATTTCTTTTTTTTCTTTCTATTATTAGCATTAAGGATTGACCCTGAAGAAACACCTCTTCAATTAAAGTTAAATGATCTTGCTGAAAAGATTGCAAAATTAGGTGGTGCTGCCGCTTTACTTATGTTAATTGTTCTATTGATCATATTTTTTGTCGATTTTCGTCATCAAGTTCCATCTCTTACAGATGCATTTAAGACATTAATTAGTATCGTAATTTCAACTGTAACCGTAATAGTAGTTGCAGTTCCTGAAGGTTTACCATTAGCCGTAACACTCGCTCTTGCTTTTGCAACAACACGCATGTTAAGAGATAACAATCTTGTACGTGTTTTATCAGCTTGTGAAACTATGGGAAATGCAACCACCATATGTTCAGATAAAACTGGAACATTAACACAAAATAATATGACAGTAGTAGCTGGAACATTGGGATTAACTAAATCTTTTGCAAAGGATTTAGATAATCACAAAAATGGTATAGAAGTACCTATTTTATTAAAGGATCTTTCAAAAAATATTCCAATACCAATTTTAAAATTATTAGAAGAATCAATTGTAATAAATTCTACAGCTTTTGAAAGTACAGATGAAAATGGTCAAATTACATTTACTGGATCAAAAACCGAAACCGCATTATTAAATTTTTTAATTAATTTAAATTGTAAGGATTTTATGAAATTAAGAAAAATCGAACCGACCGAAGTGTTTCCATTTAGTTCTGATCGTAAAGCTATGGGAGTTGTTATGAAACTGGATTCCAAATGGAGATTTTATGTTAAAGGTGCTAGTGAATTTATACTTCGAAAAACAAAATCAATTGTTAAATTTGAAGAATCAGATGATGAAATACTTTCAATTGAAGATTTGACAAATGAAAATGTGACTGAATTACAAAAAATAATAGAAAATTATGCTCGTCAAAGTTTGAGAACAATTGGATTAGCATATCGTGATTTCAGTGAATGGCCTCCTAAAGGAATCATTATTAATAATGGAGAAATTGCTTTTGATGATTTAGATAAAGATACTACATTATTAGGTATTGTTGGTATCGAAGATCCTTTAAGAGATGGAGTACGTGAAGCTGTACAAGATTGTTTAAAAGCAGGAGTAAAAGTTCGGATGGTCACTGGTGATAATATTTTAACCGCCACATCTATTGCTTCACAATGTGGGATTTATACCAATGGTAAAATAATGGAAGGATATAAGTTTCGTAATTTATCACCACAAGAGATGGATGACGTTGTACCTAAATTACAAGTTTTAGCAAGATCTAGTCCAGAAGATAAAAGAATTTTAGTATTAAAACTTAGAGAACAAGGAGAAATTGTAGCGGTAACAGGTGATGGTACAAATGATGGACCAGCATTAAAATCAGCAGATGTAGGATTTTCTATGGGTATAGCGGGTACAGAAGTTGCTAAGGAAGCATCCTCAATTATATTAATGGATGATAATTTTTCAAGTATTGTAAAAGCAATTATGTGGGGACGTAGTGTAAATGATGCAGTCAAGAAATTCTTACAATTTCAACTTACAGTAAATGTAACGGCTGTATTATTAACATTTATATCAGCTGTTTCTAATAGTGAACAAGAAGCAGTTCTAACAGCAGTACAATTATTATGGGTTAATTTAATTATGGATACTCTCGCCGCTTTAGCATTGGCTACTGATCCACCAACACCTGATTTATTAGATCGTAATCCTGAACCTAAAACTGCACCATTAATTTCTTTTCAAATGTGGAAAATGATTATTGGTCAAAGTATATTTCAATTAGTGGTCACATTGGTTTTATTATATCGTGGATTTGATATATTGGGTGATGATGCACATTTACCAACAGTGATTTTTAATACATTTGTTTTCATGCAAATATTTAATGAAGTAAAGTAAGTGATTAATCTTTTTATAATTTTCATCTTTTTTTTTTTTTTTTTTTACAATTTATAATATAATACATTTCCATTAATCACTAATCCAATTTTTCAATTTTTTTAATTAATAATAGTTGTCGACGATTAGATAATAAACTTAATATATTTAAGAATATATGGGCCAATAAATTTTTCGTTTTTATTTTCGTTATTATGATAGGAACACAAATCTTATTAGTAACATTTGGAGGTGCAGCGTTTCAAACTGAAAGTTTAAATATTCAAGAATGGCTAGTATGTATTGGTCTTGGATTTCTCTCTATACCTATTGGTGTTATAATTCGTCTGTTACCCAGCGAATCTAAACTTCAAACCGCACCACAGACAAGACCATCATCTTCATTTTCTATAGAGATGGACGGAAGAGGAGTATGGGATGATGCTCACACAAAAGTAAAGGATCAACTATCAGTCATCCGAACATTGAGAGGAGGGCGTTTGAGAGCACATTTTGGTGATAATACAAAAAAACCAAAGAAAGGTATTGCCGCTGCCATTGCAGCACCATCTTTGATGTTGGCTTCAGTTACAACTGGATGGAATCAAAATCCGGAAAAAAATCATTCTGAACAGGGAGACGTACAAACATCGTTTGGTGGTAGTGCTGAAACAAAAGTGGCTATAAATGATGATCAGATAGAAACTGCGAATTGATCATTAAACAAGAATATTTTTTTGATTTTTAGGTAAATAAAAAGAGTATGCAATAGTTGGTCATATGAAGAAATGAATTTTTTAATGATTAAACCAAATTTAGTATTACATACCTAAATAATAATAATAATAATAATAGCTATAAATATGCATAATTATATGACTGGAAATTTAATGGAAAAAAAATAATAAATCATTTGTCTCTTTATGTATTTGGGGGTTTTTTTTTTTTTGTTTTTTTTTAATAGATTTTGCGAAAGGGTAATATGTGTATTTAGAAATAATTAGAAAAATAAAATAGATTAAATAATTTTTAGAATTACAAAAGTTGAAACCTGAATGAATGATAATTATTAAATTTATTTCAACTTTTATTTTTTTAAAAAAGAATGAACGAACGAACGAACGAACGAAAAAGTGAAAATGGATTTTTAGTCACATCTTTTGAGTGAAAATTCAAAATGGCAAAGAAAATAATCATCAAAATCAAAATTGTTAAACCCTCTAAATAAATTTTCGTATTTAGGCTTACTAATGACTGGATACGGAGAAGAAACTCCAATTAGTTATTCGGAATTTTTTAAGCAATATTCCGTCGCGATAACGACTAATGACTGCACGTGTTTATAACCCAATCAAAATTAAAACTTTTTTTCTGCAGAAAATTGACCTCTTTACCTTTTAGCTGTTACACTCTATGCTGCAAAAAAAAAGTAAATATGAAAATTTAATTGTTTTTTAAACAAATTTCACATCTGTCAATTTAAAAGATTAAAAATCAAAAGGATTTTGAATAATACATTTTTTTTTCTTGTTTATTTTTTCTTGTCTTTATTTTTCTAAAATAATAATTTGGTACAGTGTAGGGATTTATATAATCTGGTTTCACCCGGATACCGCGGGTGACCCTTTCGAAACCGGATCATCCGTGTAATATTTTTTATTTTTATAAGTTTTGTGCGTTTTTTTTCATCTTTTTGACTTCGCGAAATGTGGAGCTAAGGTATTTCTATGATAGATAAAACAGCCTTGTTATTAGCTACAAAATAATATGTGTCTCATCTCTGTAGCATCGATATTTGCGGAGTTATTCCAGTTTAAAGAAAAACGTCAGTGAAAAATCGTATCATAACGCTAAATTCCGCAGAGATCTACACGATTTTCACGGACTTTTTTTAAAAAAAAAACTAAAATAACTCCGCGAATATTGATGCTATATAGATGAAACATATACCATTTTATAGCCAACAACAAGGTCGTTCTATCTATCATAGAAATATCTTAGTAAAAAATCACTCCATGTTTCGCAAATCACGAGCGAAGTTAAAAAAACAAACCTTTTGCAAATCTTTGTGAATAATGAAAATTTGTATAAATTTTTGCCTCTTAAAATTCCTGGTGCATTATAATTAATTTGGATTGAATAAAACCAGATGAAATTGGATAAAAATAGATTATGACATAACAATTAAACCTATTACATCTGGTTTAAAGTATAAACTGGATGAAAATTTTTTTTTAGAAAATTATTCATTTTCACCTGGAATAATTGATTTAAAGTCATCCAATCCCTAGTATATGAATCAAAAAAAGAAAGAAAATTTATATCATTTACACCAGCCTGCCAAAAATATCTGGACAGCTGTTTTTTTTCAAATTTTTTAAAAAAATTCAAGGGTGAATTCTGGCACAATGAATAATTTAAATTGCACAAACTTTTTTTTAAAAGAATCTCCAGATCAAGGGTTATTATATAATATCTTATTTATTCAAATTGGATGCCTGCTCGTTTTAAAATCTTGTCTTAAATAAAATTAATCAAAAATATTCTCTATAAGAAATACACATATTTAAAAAATACTTAAAATATAATTAAAATATTATTGAAATATTATTAAAATATATTTAAAATATATTTAAAATATACTTAATTATATTTGTGATAATTTACTTAAAATATTATTATTTTATAATTAAAATATATTTAAAATATATTTAAAAAATACTTAATTTAGATAATGAGTAAGCATATTTTAAGTATATATTTAAAATGCATCAGTAATTATATTAATTTGAAAACCTTCAAAATTATATTGCAACATTAGATTTCAAAGGTTATCAATTGTATTGCAATTCTTCGAAATCAAAATTTAATGAATAAATTTCAATACATATTATTTCGTTATTGAAAATCTTGAAGTTCAATGTTAAATTTTTTAATGATAACATAAATTTTTGAAATTCAATAGCTAGTATTTTAACGTATTTTGTTTCAGGTTTATTGTTTTCGGATTACTTCGAATTTAATTATTTTTATTGTAATTTAATATATATTATAGAAAATTTCATTTCATAATATTTTATTACTTTTTGAATTTTTATATAATTTATTATTAATTATATTATTAAAAGATGATAATAAATATTTTATAATATTTTTTTCTATTTTTCTATACATTTTATATAATGACGTAATAATATAGGGTAAATATTTTCTATATAATTCTTAAATATGATATAGATTTCTATTTTCTGTAATATTATATTACTTGATACTTCTTTTTATCTTTATTCTTTTTTAAAGATAATAATATTTTAATTTTTGTTTTGTTTTTTTGTAATTTTATAAAAGTTTAAAAGATATTTATTTATCTTTTTGAGATTTTTTCAAATTTTTTCAAATTTCTTATAAATTTTCTATTATAATAATTAAAGTTAATATTATATATATTACATTGTATATCTTCAAAATACTCATATATAATTAAATATTGTAATATTTTGTAATTCAAAATAAATTAATTTTTTCAAATAAATAGTTTGAATACTTATATTGTTGTCATAAATATGTTAACAAAGGGAGAACCTGTTATAATTTTAAATACTACTACATAAAATCTTAATGTAATTATTTAATAAAATAAATTCTTTAAAAAAAGATTTTTAAATTATACAGAAAAATTTTAAATTTTTTTATCTTATAAATTTGCAAAAATAACTTATTAGTTTTTATCTCTTCAAAGATATTCTATTGACAGAATAAATAATAGGAAGATATAAATATATTATTTCGAAATGTTTTATAAGTATATATTAAAGTTAATAAGATATTCCTAAAAATAAACAAAATATAAAATATATTTATTTACTTATTAAGTTATAAAATAAAGTCAACACAAGTCAATAAATATTATTAAATATATTTTAAATTATTACTTTTTATTTAATATATTTTGATATAACAATAACAAAATACGAAGATATAAATTTATTTCTTTTCAAAGAGTTTTGTATGGATTATTTAGAAAAAGTAAAAATAGTTATTCTGAAAATAAATAAAAAAATACATAGTTAAATAATAAGTTATATAAAATAATTGATCTTGTTGCACAAACAAAAAAAAAATATTAACTTTCAAAAAAAATTTGAAATAATAATTAATGATATGATAAATTTCGAAGGATATCGATGTCAGTTAAAATGCATTGATATAAATTTCAAAAGATATTTGTTAATTGTCTAGTTATTCTAAAAATCTTTAACAATAATATATTAAATTATCAAAGGTTTCGGGAATGTATTAATATGAATAAATTTTAGATCAATATGATATCTAATAAAATTATAATAATAATATAATTATATTCAATAAATATAAATACTAACCTTAATTGTTGTGATAAATTTTGAAAGATATTATTAACAATGTAATTTTGTTATGATAAACTTTGAAAGATATTGTTAACAGTATAATATCAATTAAAATTGCTGTGATAAACTTCTGAAAGATATCGTTGACAATACAATATCAATTAAAATTGTTGTAATAAACTTCAAAGGATATCATTGACAGTGCAATGTTAATTAAAATTACTGTGATAAACTTCAAAAGACATTGTTAACAATACAATGTTAATTAAAATTGCTATAATAAATTTCGAAGGATATCATTGACAATACAATGTCAATTAAAAATCATACAGTGCGGAACCTCTATAATAGAAACTTGGTTATAGTAAAAATTGATCAACTTTTTTGTCTTAAAACTTTTTTTTCAAATATAGAAATAAAAATTCTAACCGTAGAAAATGGTAGCCCAGAACCTAGGCTTTCAGAATCATCAGTTAAAATTTTGATCTGATTAAAATTGATCAACTTTTACTGGAGTTGAAGTTACACGATTTAATTATACCTATCAAATTTGAGAATATACTAAAAATAGAAAACCATTGTAATTTCACCTGAAATTCACCAGAA